CCCAGGTGTATTAAATCTTGTGCCTCAGCGCTTTCCCAGAAGCCTGTCAGGGGTCTCTGACTTGCTTCGTTTGTTACACCCTCCTTCAACTTGAGTGTTGGGTATTTTGTCTCAGAAACGAGAACAAAGTAAGACACCATCTTCCCTCGACTCAATTAAAAAAACCTTAGAGATATCCTTGACTTCATATTCTGTGTAATTTTATTCATTTATTTTATTTTTTATTTTTTGGCAGAACCAGGGATTGAACTCAGATCCTTGCCCTTGCTAGGGAAGTGCTTATTCCACTGAGCCATCTCCCCAGCCTTGTCTGTGTAACTTTAGATGTGTCTAGAATTTAACCATCTTACACTGTTTTCCATTGTTCCTACCCTGATCCAAACTGTTATCAACTCTCATTTTACTTATTACAGCTAAGGCTCCTTCACACTTGCTATGGATAGCAAGATTGCGTTGTTGCACGCCAGTCAGAACATGCCATTCCTGGGCCCAAAACACTTGAGTGGTTTCCCAGCTCGCTTGGCAAGAGTTAATGTGCTGGCTTTGATGTCCAAGGCCCTGCATGATCTGGACCCCTCATTAACCTCTCTGATCTTATCAGCCTCTGGCACTTCTGTCTGACCTTTAAGCCTACATCTTCCTCAGACTTACCAACATGTCCTTGCTTCAGGGCTCTGGTTCTTGTTGCTCCCTATGCCTGAGGAGCTTTTCACTGTTGTATTTTAAAATGACTTAACCTTCGCTTCTTACAGTCTTTTACTCACAGGGTGGGGGTGGGGGGCTTTGCACTAGATACTCTGAGGCTCCTACCTAAAAGAATCTCTTCTAGATACACACTCCTCCCTTATTCATTTTTGTTCTTTCCCTCTCAAATAAGGCAGTGTAAGTTTTAAGTATTGATTCTTCCTGCTATTGGTCTACCACACTAGGATGGCAGGCTCCACAGGAGCACATTATTATGAGATACATTCTAAATTTTTATACAATCAATGTGTGTGGCAGTGCTTGGAATATAGTAGGCTTTCCATAGATATTCATTAACTTAATAATTAATAATTTAATAAGAGTACCTACCAAGTAGTAGTAGTATGATGATAAATGAGTGAATCTGAGTTTAGAACTGTGTCTGGTAAGGGCTAAACACTCATTGCATGTTGGATCTGCAGACAGAGTATTGGAGTAAAACACAAAATGCAGACACAAGCATATGATTTAGTATATGATAAATGTTCATTTTCAAATTAATGAGGCAAAAACTAAATTTAAGAATAATCTGGTAGTCATGTCTAAAATAAATTCTTGATAAATCAAATTTTTAAGTTTGAAAACTATGAATAATAGCAGGAAGGGAAGAAGCTATAGGGAAATAACTGAAGTAACGTAATAGGCTTGAATTAATAAAATCACAGAAAAGGTCAAATTCCATTACTAGAGTGAATTTTAGGGGGTTTTACTTCTGAAATATTTCTAGACTAGCACTTACAATAAAAACGAGGTCTAAAAAGCACCAAACAGAAAGAGATTTAAATAAATAGTACAATGCCTGGCATGGTGATACATCACTATGGTCCCAGTACTGAGAAGCTGAGGTGGAAAGATCACAAATTTGAGCCCAGTGTGGGCAACTTAGTGAGACCCTATTTCAAATAAGGAATAAGAAGGCTTGGGGGGTGTAGCTCAGTGCAAAGGTCTCGAATTCAGTTCCCAGTACCAAGGCAGTGGGGGTGGCAGGTGGAGGGAGCAGAGCTATACAATTAGGAAAAGCAATATGGAACAAATAAACCATCATAAAACTTTCTGAATATCAGTTAAATAGATTTTTACTTGCTTTATGGTAGAGGAAGTTGCAGATGCACAACTAGACTTTTTTATTATATAATTCTTTATTATAATTCTATTTTATTTGAAGAGTAATAACAAAAGCAAGAACAAAGATCGGAAACAAAGACAGAGGGCTGGCCAAATAGCTTAGTGGATTAAAGCGCCTGCGAGCAGGTGCAGGGGCCAAGGGTTCAATCCCTGGACCTACCCTTCTGGCCCCGCCCCCAGGGCACCCTGAGCTGGCAATTGAGTCTAGGCGTGGTGATGCACGCCTGTAATCCCAGCTCTAAGGAGGCTGTAAACAGGCAGATCACTATGAGTCTGATCTAGTAGTGAGACCCTGAACACTCTGTAAACCCTTTCCTAAAATACCAAAAAAAAAAAAAAAAAAAAAAAAAAAAAAAAGGACAGGAACACGGTAACATACATTTTATAATAGATTTTTAAAACAAGAATAGCTGATTTGTGCTTGCTTTGGCAGCACATATACTAAAAAAGAATAGCTGATTAACATGGTTGATATATTACCTATTTTTACCATAAAATCTGTTGCTCAGATTAACAGATGTAGTTATGAAAGATTGGATATGATTGAATGTTACCACTTTCTTTCAAGAAATTTTTTTTTTAAACTGTGGCCTTTTATTTACACATAGATAGTTCAAAATAGAACTTGTCAGAAACTTTAACATAAAGAGGATCCACAAAAAACAAACAAACAAAACAAAACAAAACAAAACAAAACAAAAAAAAACCACCTTGGGTTTAAAAATAAAACAGAACCTGGTAATAGTCTCTGGTCAAAGGATTCATATTCTCATAGATGAGAAAGTGGACTTTTAGAGGGCTAGCAAAAGAGGATTATTTGTATGGGGGAGGGCAGTTGTTATTCCCAGGCTCACAGTGATTTGGGGAATCTGTCACAGTGCTAAGAACAGGGTGATGGGGCAGTGGTCACTGCCAGGAGCCTTGGAATGGATCTTGCTCTTGCACAAAGCAGGTAAAAGGGAACAGAATAGCAGAAAGTAATCAGGGCGCCAACCTACATTCTTGGACCGAGCATTCATCATGTAAGTCCAAAAGGTGTAGGCCCAGGCAGCCTCCGGTGCAGGTGACGGAAGCTGTCAGCCTGCAGCAGCTCCCCAAAGCCTTGGCGCTCCTGTGGAGTGAAGCCAGCATTCTGTTTGTTTCCTCTGGGGTTATGAAGGTAAATTTCTTTCTTCTTTCTTTTTTTGGCGGAACCGGGGATTGAACTCAGGCCCTCGCGCTTGCCAGGGAAGCGCTTATTCTATTGAGCTAGCCTCCTAGCCCATGAAGGTCAATTTCTTCATGAGCCACAGTGAGGTCTCCACATAGTACAAGAGGTTTGCGGGACACCCACCATGCCCTTCAAGAACTTGCGAAAGGCTCCATGCCAGCGCTGCCTGTACTCCAACCTTACCAGACCCCGGCCTGTCCTGGGTACATAGATGTGATCAGCATGAATGAGTCAAATTCAGCCACAGCCAAGCACACCCACACCACTGTATCCTTCTTTGTCAGAAGGCGCTGACCAGGACTGATGGGATAGTCCAGAGAGCTCCTGACGCTCAGCTGGGAGTTTGTTCTCTGAACATTTGGTCTCCTGGAGGCACAGGATATCCGGGGCTTTTCCCTTTACAATCTAAGCCGTTCTTAATCCAGGTGCGAAGCCCATCCACGTTCCAAGAGCATATCTTGAGTGTGGCAGATTTGCCACTGAGCTAGGTTTTTTAGTACAGGACTGGGCCTTCTCCTGCTGTCTCTTTTTCGTTTTTCTTTGCTTCCACTTTACTCTTCTTGGCCTCTGGCTCTCTTGGGCTCTTCCCCATCTTCCGACGCTGATCCCTTTTTCTCTGCTTTAGCATCCTTGTAATGAAGGCTCTTCGGTATGATACAGGGAGAAAAACTGTTCTTGGGTGGGTGACCTCCAAATGACATAGGGAAAAACGATCTCCCAACCTGACCTGCACGAGTTTGTGTTCTCTAAAACCAAAGAATGAATTTTAGGAACAAACGGAGGTTATGAGCAGAATATATTTATTGAGAGGAAGAAAGCTCCTGTCCAAGAGAGGGACAGGAGGGGGGCCCTAGTGGATAGTTCCCCAGGAAGCTGTCTCTTCCAGGGACTTTTATAGTGTAAAAGCAGGGCTAAGGTAGAGAGAATGGGAGCTCGCTTAGGTGGGCAGGAGGTGGGACAAAACTATGGTCAACCAATGGGATTACAAGCACCATTGCTCAGGTAAAAGTGATTAAATCCAGTATCAAACGGGAAAGAGAGTCACATTGCAAACAGGCATGAATATGGGACAGGGTCTCTTCCTGTTGGGGGTTGGAATGAGGGACAGGGTCTCTTTCTGTTGGGGGTTGGGCTAGTGACTCACTTGGGTCTTTCTAGGTGACCAATACCAATTTAGAATATCAATCCCAGGTGCTACACTTTTAGCATTTGTTTGGCCTTTAGGTCTGGCTCACAGCAGGAGCATCCACCCCTCCCACAGTTGTAAGGCATCTCCTCTTCTGTGCTGTCTCCTTCGAAGGCCTAGCCCTGTCTGTCTATATTTTTATCTAACTCAGCTGCCTGCAATAGGTACAAGTACCTCGTCAACCACTAAAGCAGTATTTTCACCGGCTGGTCTGCTAGGGCCCCCAGAGAGACTTCTCATTTTCAAGAAATCTTAAAAAAAAAAAAAAAAAGATAATAAAAGAAAATAAAAAGAGAGACAAGAAAAACCAGAATTTAGTCAAGAGTCAACTTGGAAAATACAGCCCCATACAAAACAAATAAATAGCACAGTCACAAATGCCTCTGGGAGCCATCAGCCTACTGGTGGGTGGATCTCGAAAGCAGTTTTGTTTGCTTTTCTGATCCAGATAAGTTTGCTAAATAGAGGGGATTTTCACTTCCTTTGGATCCTGGATCTGGTTTTTGTAAAATCCAGATGAGAGAAAGTTATGCGCAGCCGCACTCCGGGCCAGCAAGGAGTTTGCAAGGGTCCTGCCCACCCCGCAAGCTTAAGTGAGAGTCACCTCAACCCCACAGGTCTTAAATTAAGGTTTAATTTAGAGCTTTCCTTTTGCTTGGAGAGCTGCTTGGGAGCTACAGGTGGGCGTGTTGGAGCACGGGCCGCCCATCTGGGGCGCGCAGGGGCGCGCAGAGTCCCGGAGCTGCGGACTGGCGGGCAGGGGAAGTAGTGCGCTTCAGAGGTGGGGTGCGGGTCCCCTGGACGTGGATGGGCGGGCGCGGCTCCCTTAGGGAGGGGGCGCGAGGGGCCTGGGGGAACACAGGGAGCACGGCCCGCAGAAGGTGGCACTGGCCCGGCGCGCTGGGGCTTTCCGGGAGGTCACCTCCCCGGGGAACTCCGAGCCAGGCTTTCTGGCCCCTAAGGCTTTGGCTCTGAGCCGCCTGACTGCTGCTGCCCGGGAGTCTGGAGCATCCGCCAGGGCGGACTCAGCCTCTCAGGACCCCTTGGGGCTGCTTTCATGGTCAGTTTTGCTTAATCAAGTCGGAATCCCCAAATTCTGCTCACCCCGACCCTACCCAAGGTAACACTCTTTAAGCCCAATGTGAAACGGAATCATATGGAGGCCACACAGCTTTAGTGACTTTGGCAAATAGTGGTTGTTCATAAAACATTTATTGAACGACAAAAAAACCCCGTTGATGTGAACGTAGAATAGTGATAGCAGAGTTTGGGGAGATGTGAATTTGGGGGATTGAATTTGATCAGTGCGTGCTGTCTGGTGTTTTCTAATGCCACGCAGAACCTACTAACAACTAATACCTGTTAAGCAAAAAGATGAACTGAAGTAGTAAGGCAGCCACTGAACAAGACCACCATTATTGAGGTACTGCCCCATGATGTGGGCAGCCACTGGACTTGTACTGCACCAGTTCAGTCCATCCGGGATTCATGTGAAAGAAAAGAGCATTCCCCCCAGAGTGAGCAGCGTCAGGAAAATCAGGGCCCCCCGAACGCTGCGCTCTGGAAATTCACAGCATGGTGTTCCATAATTGCAGAGAAGTACCGAGCTGGGTTGGAGATAAGGCGTGGGACCCTCTGTGCAGGAATTCCTCATGCCTCGGATTATGTGCTATGCTAGGCGGCAGATGGTAAGATTTCATTCCTTAGCAGTTGAGTGTCTCTGACAACCTTCCCAGAGATTATTCTCCGTTGTGTAAAGAACTCTTGTGGTATGTGAAAATCCAGGAGGTTAGCAGGCAACTCTGCTATGCATCGGTTTTCCCTCCGGTGAGTAGATGTTACCTTGGGACAGGTAATACTGTGATTCCAGGTAATGCAAAGGACCCTAAAATCAGCCTTCACCATCCTCACCATCCTTTAGCGAGCCTCCTCAGCTCCCAGCTACCCTCCCCGGGCCCTGCATCTCTGACTCCTATTCTATCCTGTCAGCATGGGGACCTTCCTAGTGAGACTTGACTGCATCCTGTACCTGTCTTCAGCCTTCTCAGTGATGGCTCAGCTCTGCCATAACGAGGGAACCAGGTACGATTCAAGGAGAGTCTATGTAGAGTTCTCCTTCCCAGGAGGGATGCTTATGGCTCTGAAGGAAAGACCTTGCTGATCTGCCCTGCCTGTACATCTAGGACTTCATATATTTCCTTTGTCCCTGCAGGATTAATCAGTCTCTCCTGACACCCTCCCACCTGCAGAGCCGCAGGGTGGGCCTCAAAGTTGCGGGCTTAAATTTCACTCTAGAGGACTCCCCATTCCTCATCTTAGCAGGCACCATCCACTACTTCCGGGTGCCCAGAGAGTACTGGAGGGACCGCCTGCTGAAGCTGAAGGCCTGTGGCTTCAACACCGTCTCCACGTGAGTGCTGGCCTCCCAGTAGTTATTTCAAGAATTTATCACCTGAACTCCCAGCTCTGAGGCTATAGTAGACCAGCCTAAAGCTGTCTTCGTAATAGGCTTTTTGTTGCACATAGAAAGCCTGCATCTCCACTAGATAGCCCAAGATTTCCAGTAATCATCCACATTCTGGAAGCAAAAATGAAAGAATCTTACTTATTTCTTTCTGTTCTTTTAACATATCCATTACTGTTTGGACAGTTTTTTTTTTAAGTGCCTTTGTTTTCAATGATTTAACAATTTTTGAAATTTATATTAGAAGAAAAATATCTGGAAATTAATTTGGTGCATGATGAGGGATATAATTTTAAGCATCCCCCCCTTAAATTGTCACAATACCCTTTAGACATTATTTTTGTTCTTTTTAAAAATCATTTTCAGTTGCTTTCTTTATAAATTAATTAATTAACTTATTGCAGTACCAGGACCTTGAGCTATGTACCTATACTTTTATTTATTTTTTTATACTTTGAGACAGTCTTTATTGCTCAGGTGCCTAGGTTTGTTTGAATTTTCTGTTCTGCCTCAGCCTTCTGAATATTTGGGGATATAGGTATACCCTTTTGTCAAACTTCATGTATTGCTTTTCCAATTTGTCATCATTTTTATTTAATATTTATTTAGCACAGGGCCTCACTGTGCAGCTTGGGCTCATAGAAACGCCTGTCTCAGCCTCCCAGCCCTGGGGTTACAGGCAGGCCCGCCATGCCGGTTTGGTGGCCAGCATGGCGCGCTCAAGCTTCTGGGGCCCACACAGTGTGCGGTGCCGGGAATTTCACCCTGGTCCTTGCACTTACTAGGCAGGTGCCTCTACTGCCGAGCTATCGCCCCAGCCCTATCTCTTTTTATTTATAAGAGAATAAAGAATATAAAATGATAGAGAATTTCAAAACAAGTTGATAAGAAATTAACAATAGACCTCATGGCCCTGCCCCTGGGTGTGCTGAGCCAGAGTCTTGAGTCTGGGCATGGAGGCACATGCCTGTAATCCCAGCACTGGGGAGGCTGAAAACAGAAGAATCACTGAGTCCAAGCTGCTTAGTGAGATGCTGCACTAAATACAAAAAAAAAAAAAAAAAAAAAAAAAAAAAAAAAAAAAAAAAAGAAGAAGAAGAAATTAACAATGGTTATTATATTGCATATTGTTCCCTGTAAAGTAGTTGCTCAGATTACTAGATTATAGGCATGCAAAATTGATCAAACAATAAAAGCACTAATTTTTCCTTTCAATGAAGTAATAGATTGTAGTACAATTATTTTAGCTATCTTTGTGTGTGTGTGTGTGTGTGTGTGTGTGTGTGTATTTCCCTCCCTTCTTTTCTCCTTTGCTCCATTTTAGCAGTGCCTTATGTTATCCTTTCTTAATCTTAGTTTGGGCATGGGTTGTTACTGTTTCTCAAGTATCTTAAGGTTCTTCATAAGGTTATTTGAAAAAAAAAAGTTGAGATTTCTCTGTTTTTCTTTTTGGCGGAACCGGGGATTGAACTCAGGCCCGTGCGCTTGCCAGGCAAATACTTATTCTACTGAGCTATCTCCCTGCACCCTGTTTTTCTTAATGTAATCTTTGATTGCAATGAACTTCTTTCTTAGGACTGCTTTCTCCATTATGTTTACCAGAAGTTCTGGTGAGTTTTACATACATTGTATTTAACTTCTAGAAATTTTAAAATTTCTTCCTTGGTTTCTTCTGTGACCCATTGGTTGTTTTGAAGTGAGTTGTTAAGGTTTTAGCTTCTTCCACTTTTTCCATAGTTTCTTATGTCATTGTGTGGTCTATAGTACACACGGGGTGATTTCAACTCTTTTATATTTATGTAAGCAGGCTTTGTGGAGAGCATATGGTCTATTTTGGAGAACGTACTGTGGACTGCAGAAAAGTACATATATATTCTATTATAAAAGGGTAGAATACTCAGCAGGTATCAAGTCTATATGTTCAAGCATGTGGTTCACCTCTTGTTTCTTTTTCTCTTTCTTTCTTTCTTTTTTTTTTTTCCGGAACTCAGACCCTTGTGCTTGCCAGGCAAGCGCTTATTCTACTGAGCCATCTCCCCAGCTGTGTTATTTCTTTATTGATCTTCTATTTAGTTGATCTTTCTTTTTTGTGAAAGGTATGTTAAGACACTCCATTACGATTGTGTTACTACTTATTTGATTGTTTATATTCAGCAATGTTTGTTTCATGAAATTAGGTGCTCCAAATTGATGCTTAATTTTTTTCTTGTCCTTTTAAATTTCTTACAACTTTTTTTCTTTTTAGCAGTTTTACATGCTTATATCTGATAATCTGAACAATGGAGAAAGCAATGTCAAATTCCTACTGTTTTGTTTGGTGAAATTTTGTATCATTTGTAATGTTTTAATTTTATTTACTATTTTGTATACTCTTTAGATTATAAAAAATTTAAAAAATATTTAAAATTATAGGGGCTGGTGAGATGGCTCAGTGGTCTAAAGCACCTACTTAGAACAAGCTAAGCAAACACAGGGACTGCGGTTCAATCCCCCAGCACCACATGCCAGCCAGCCCCGCCCCCTGGTGGGCTGAGCTGGCCACGCACAAATAAATAAATAAAATTAAAAAAAAATAAAATTATAAATTACTTAGTATATTTAACAAAGTCAAGCAATATAGAACTCTATGTAGCTGCATATTAAATTAAAGTAACAGCTTATTCCTTAAAAAAAAGATAGGTGCTCCAGAATTTGGTGTGCAAATATTCATAAGCATTGTCTCTTCTTGATGGATTGTTCCCCTAACTAATATATAGTGACCTTTTTTGCCTCTTTTAATCAGTTTTAAGGTTTATCATGTCTGAGATTAAATTTTTTACCATTGGTTGTTTTCAGGGTCTTGATGAATGAAATAATGATTTCCATCCTTTAACTTTTAGTCTATAAATATCCTTTTGGATTAGCTGGGTTTCTTATTTGTGATAGACAGATTCTATTTTTTGACCCATTCTGCCAAAGTCTGTGTCTTTTAATTGGAGAGTTGAGGCTATTAACATTGAGAAATATTACTGATATATGTTGATTATTTACTATCACTGTACTCTTTCTATGTTGGTGACTTCGTTGTTTTTCTTCTGTCGTTTTCTCTTGCTTGGTATTTTCCTTTCATGTGGGTTTTTAGCTTTCTTTTTTTTATTTGTTTGTTTCTGTCTGGGATATTCTTGAGTGTTTTCTGGAGTTCTGGCTTACTATTACTAAACCTGTTGATCTTGTCTTTTTTATGATGTGTTCTTATTTATTCATTCTTATTTTTTAATGTATTTAGTACAGAGTCTACAGGATCTCACTAGCAGCTTGGACTCATAGTCATCCTCCTATGTTCAGCTTCACAAGCACTGAGATTACAGGCATGTGCTACCATGCCCAGTCTTCTTGGTTTGTTTTGAAGGAAGGCTTTGATAGGTTTGTTAGTCTGTGCTAAAAATTACTTAGGGCTGAAAACAGCTCACTCCAAGCTCTCTTGGCCTTTAAAGTTTGTGTTGTGAAGTCTGCTGTGGTTTTTATGGGCTTACCTCTTTATGGGACTTTTTAATCTTTTCTAATAGCTTTTAAAATTCTAGAAATTTTTGTTGAATATCTGGCCGTTTAATAAAGATATGTCTTGGTTAACCTTTTTCATAATAGTTTTTGGTGTTCTAGAAGCCTTATTTACTTGTATGTTGAACTAACTCCTTTCTCATGTTTGGGAAATTTTCTGCTATGATTTCTGTAACAATATTTACAGTTCCCTATATGCCATCTTACAGGTTTTTCTTTCATGCCAGTCACCTTTAGATTTGTCTTTTTTTTTTGGCGGAACCGGGGATTGAACTTAGGCCCTTTCGCTTGCCAGGGAAGTGCTTATTCCACTGAGCCATCTCCCCGGCCCCAAACTGGATGGAATCTCAAATTAGATTTTTGGGTTTTTTTGGTGGAACCAGGGATTGAACTCAGGTCCTTGCGCTTTCCAGCGAAGCACTTATTCCACTGAGCCATCTCCCCAGCCCCTAGATTTGTCTTTTTAGCATCATTTAGAAGCTAATGAATGGTCTTTTCTTTCTTTTTTTTTTTTTTTTCTTATTTTTTGTGACTTCTCTGAATATCTTCATAATGTACCCATTTTGTCCTCTATTGATGTGAAGACTCTTGGCCTTCACATTGTTCATTTTTATTTTGGGGGGTTTAGTCTAGTATCTTTTTGAGGATTCTAAATATTTGGTGGATTTGTCATTCATATTTTGAACCAATTTGCTCAATTCTTCTAATTTTTTTAAATTTTAAATGTTATTAGTACACATTTGCAGTTCATCTGGTCCAAGGCGATCAGGGAGAACTGTGAGCATGAGGGGAAGGGACAACAAGCACACAAGTGTATGCCGTGTGTACAAGCCTAGTAACCCCGTTAATGGAGACTTTTTCATTCTTGTATGTATTTCTTCTGTATCCAGTGTGGGTAGTTTCGTTGATATTTCAGTGAACTTCTGGTTTGTTTCCTCTTTGAACTTGCCTAGTTTCTTTCCCTTTTCTATAACCTTTTTGTAGAGTTCTGCTACCTGGCATTTTCTTTCTTCTCTATTCTTCCCCCTTGATTTATCTTAGGAGACTTGGAAAACATTGGTGTGTCCGTGTGTGTGTGGGTCCTTCTGTTTCCTTGCTTTTCCCATGTTCTCAAGTGTATGTATATCTATTTTCTGTTATTTGTTATCTCCAGGAAATCCAGATATTGACACAGAGAAAACCAGTTGTCATCCATATTTTATTACCTTGGCTATAATAGCAAATTCAGCAGCAACAATAGCATCAGATATCAACTGGATACTACTTAGATCTTTGCTGGGAATTAGAGGGAGGAAAATTTGAAGATAATGCGTATTGCACCAATGGACTTTAATCTACTTAAACCTTTAGCTTCCTTCATGGTAGAGATAACCTAGGTGCTCTGTTAAAATGAGAAAAACCAGTGTGGAATTAGGTCAAGTGGGGGATGGTTCTTATATTTCTCTTTTCTTACCATTTTAGGCATGTTCCCTGGAACCTCCATGAACCAATGAGAGGCCAGTTTCATTTTGCAGGAAACCTGGATTTCATGTATGTGCTCATGCTTTAATTGCCTGATTCTATGGCTCAGAGATTGGCACCCAGCAGTAGGCATTGGGTGAAAGAGTAGGGACACCGTGCTTTCTCCTTTGAGACCAGTCTGGAAGTTCTGATCATTTTTTTTCCCAAGGTTGAAGCCTTCTTAACCAGAGAGTCTGTGCTTTATAGTGGGGCATAGGGCTTCATGTTACATTGTAAATTAGAATTGCTTATCCAGCCTGCTATACGTGACAGTGTTATTTTACCATGAAGAATATATTTTCTCATTAATAGGAACTTTCTGGTTTAGTTTATATGGTTTCTAAGTCAAGACAAGAGTGTTCAAAATATATACTTACCAATTACTGTAATTTACTAGAAATATGTACTTGCTATCTAACATTTAGATGGCACATTTAGATGTTATCTTTGGTGCTGGAGATAGACAAGACATGCCATTCTTTGAAGAATAAAGAGAGTTAAATACAACAAACTAAGGGTATATAGCGCAAACGAGGGAAACAGATCAGAGAGACAGTGGTGGTAGTCCGCCTGAGCGCTTATCCCACTGAGCCATCTCCCCTGCGTAAAGTACATTTCAAGGGACGCAAAAGTTAACTGGAAGGTGCTGTGTAGTTGGCATGCCCAGCAGAGGCGAAGTTGGAGAGGTGAGGGTCCACTGCATGTCGGTTAAGGTAAAATTAAGTGCTGTGACACATATGATTTAAAGCTGTGAGCAAGGTCTGATTTTCTTCAAGTAGAACCTGAAATGCGTGTTTCTGGTTGCCATGTCTCTCCCTTCCAATACACGGAGTGCCGCAGAGGCCTTCCATGTGTGCTTTCATTTTTCACGGGAGCTTCCCAGCCGCAGGGCCTGTTTGCATCACGCCCAGTGTGTAAGGAAGGGCATGGAGGCTGCCTCTGGAACTCGCTGTGTGTTCCTTCTGTTCACATCTTATTGGCTTGCATCAGTCGCATGGCTCCACTGAGTGCCCAGAGCTGGGAAATGTGGTTGGCCACACCCAGGAGAGGAAGGAATAGATGTGCTGAGTAGGGCCCAAGGAGATGGCACAGAATAAGCGCTTCAGAGTTCAGTCCCTGGTTCTGCCAGAAACAGAACAAGGGCTGGGGGTATAGCTCAGCGACATAAGCCCCTGTCTGGCAAGCACAAGGTCCTGAGTTCAATCCCCCATACCACAAAAGAATAAATAAATAAATAAATAAATAAATAAATGTATAAATAAATAAAATAAATGAAGAAAGACTTGCTTAAAAATAATAATAAAGCAAAAAAAGCCTCACTGATTCACTTCCTGCCATACACTGCGTTTTCTGGGATTTGCAGATAGTGTTTGGCTTTCTTACTAGTTTTAAGCAGAGCAACTGCTGATGTGTAAGTCTGAAGAGATGATCAAAACCCATATCTTGGCCTTCTACCCCATGCTGCAGAGTTGGGGACCTATTCTCAGGGCATTGCATAATTATTTGAAGAATTTAAATTTGAAAACTTCACATTTGCATTTAGAAAGATCATTCTGACAGGGGTTTCATTTTGTTTCATTCATTGCAGGGGCCTGGACCTTGAAGTTTGTGTATATATGGCACATGCTCTACCACTGAGTTGCATCCCTGAGCCCCACAGAGTTTTAAATTAATTAATTATTTATTTTTTAAACTTATTTACTTACTTGGTACAGGATCTTACTGTACAGCTTGAACTTGTAGTGATCCTCCTGTCCTAGCCTCTCCACTGCTGGGATTATAGGTTGCACCACCATGCCCAGCTTCAGTGCTCAGGGCAGGGCCAGCATGGCATGTGGTACTAGGATCGAACCCAGGTCCTTGTGCTTTCCAGGCAGGTGCTTAGACTGCTGAGCTATCTCCCCAGCCCTCCACAAGGTTTTTCATAGGCAGCCTAATGGAGTAGTTAAGATTTTGTTTTAGTGGGCTCTCTGCCTGAGTTATGATTTTAGATCTTCCACTTATTAAAATGTAACCTTGAGGAAGCTCTATTTAGAATTTTTTTTTTTTTTTTTCTGGAACCGGGGATTGAACTCAGGTCCTTGCGCTTGCCAGGGAAGCACTTGCTCCACTGAGCCATCTATTTAGAATTTTAAGGGCCGGCCAGATAGCTCAGTGGACTAAAGCATCTACTTAGGCAGAGTGCAGTGGCCAAAGTTTCATGCCGGTGTGCTATGCCTTCCCCACCCCCAGGGTGCACTGAGATGGTGATTTGAGACTGGGCATGGTGGCTGTGCCTATAATCCCAGCACCTGGGAGCTAAAAACAGGAGAATCACTATAGCCCCAAGTCCCATTTATGTAGTGAGACCCTGTGGACCCTGTACTAAATAGATAAAAAAAGAATTTTAATTTTCCTGTGTGCAAATGGAGTTGATGTTAATATCTGTTCCATACAATTACCCAAAAAGTAATAAATTCCAGTTTAGTAGTAGTGCCTGATATTGATACAATATAAATTCTTATTTTGTTGCTAATGTTGATTTTATTATTGACAATAATTGGAAAAGAATTAGAAGAAGGTAAGAATAAAAGAGGGAAATGAGTCATTCATTTAAATAGGAATGAAATGATGAGTTTGTGAAACAACCTGGTAACAGTGGGAATGCAGAGGAAGTGATGTTTGGGAACATTAAGTAGGAAGAGTAACTAGGATTTGTGACTCACAAGTAGTAGGAGGTAAGGAAGGATGAGGAGTGGGGTGGTTAGTGTGTTTCTGTCTTATGCGACTTACTACATGCTATGTGCCATATGCATGGAGGTAGGAAATCCAGAGAAAGGATGGGTTTGGGTGGAGAGACTAGAGTTCAGGACTTCCACCTGAATGTTCTGCTCTCTAGTGACTAGGCAGAGCCTTTTTCTTACTGAAGTCTCCTAACCTGTATTTCTTACAAGGACTTTTGGGGACCAGGCTCTCAGTGCCATTCATTGTAACCTCAGAAGAAAGCAAGGAGGGAAACATGGCTATGGTACAAGGTCTCAGCTTTTAAAGTCGCTGTTGTTGCTTTCCTTCCTAGGAGTTTTATATCCGTAGCTTCGGAGTTGGGGCTTTGGGTCATTTTGTGTCCAGGCCCCTACATTGGGAGTGACTTAGATCTTGGTGGCCTGCCCAGGTAAGTGTGTGGTGGGTGAACCTGGCTGTTACTGTACATGGCCCACAAGAACTTTCCAATGCAGGTTAGAGCAGTGTTTTATTTTGCTTTCTATATGCATGTTTATCTGCAGTTTTTTTTTTTCCATTTAATGACACAGAAAATGAGACTTACAATATTAGGGATTATATATTTGTTGTGTTGTTTAAACATCTGTGGTGCAAATGAGATAGTGTTCTTCTTTATTCTTAAAATACAGATTCATGGCTACCACTTAAGCAATATTTTTGTAAGTTTTAAGGTTTCTTTTGATAACCACAGAATTATCTCTTATTTATTTATGTAAGGTGAGGCACTCTACTGATCTGCATCCCCAGCCCTTTTTATTTTTTCGGACAGCATCTCAGTAAGTTGCCCAGGCAGGCTGTGAACTTGGTAGCCTCTTGCCTCTGCCTCCTCCCATGCGGGATCATGTGCCTGTATCACTGTGCTGGCTCAATTAACGTCTTTCTTTTTTTTTTTTTTTTTTGGCAGAACTGGGGATTGAACTCAGGCCCTTATGTTTGCCAGGGAAGCGCTTATTCCACTGAGCTGTCTCCCCAGCCCCAATTAATGTCTTTCTTTTCTTTTTTTGTTTTTAAAATTCTTTTGCTTAAGGTTTTTATTGTCATAAAAAACACATAACATACAATTTATAAGTTTAACCATTTAAGAGTGTTTAATTGGAATTTTAACATGGCTGAATAGAGAAGAAACTTTGCTGGAGCCACTCAGGGAAAATCAACTAAAAGTACAGGTAATTGGAAGAAAGGGAGGAACTTACACTATGATGCCAAAATCAATCCGAAATAAGACAGTTATAGATCAAATAAAACATAAACACAGGACTTCTTAAAGTGATTCTGCAGCCCACAGGGCTGTGTGTGGGTCTCCCATGGAGCAGGACTGCCATTGAGGAAGCTTCCAAAAACTGAAATAGTGTTGCAACTCCAGTTGCACCGGATAGATTTGGGATATAACATCCCTCACCCCTTTGCTTTCATCCAAACAGAATACTGCAGCCAGGTAGCAAATTTTACCTGCACACACAGGGTTGACTGACTAAGAAACTTCTTCTTCCTCTATAGGACACCTGTGTTTTTTGTTTGTTTTTCATTTTGTGTGCACCATAACACCTAGTTGGAGCCTCTACTGACAAAAAGGATAGGGACCTCAGTGGCAGTAGTGACTGCAGTGAGCAGACGAGCATGGCCCCTCATATCCTGTGACTGACTGGAATGAGAGAGGGACATGGACTGCAGATACAGAATTGAAGCAGGCTTCTGGTGGGAAGTCAGTACTCCTTCCACCCTGTAAGCAGCGGTGCAAGCAGAAGGACTGAGGGGCAGTCAACACTTCCCATGTCCTTTGACCAGTGGTAGAAAGTGTTGGGCATGGAGGGACAAGGAATGGGTAGCCATCACCCTCAAGCCCTTGCCACAGAGAGACCAGCATGTGAGAAGAGCCAGTGGTGTGGAGACATGGGTTAGCCATCCAGAGAGCTTCTGGATACAGACCTGTGCCCAGCACACACAACACTTCTGGAGGCCAAGATCAGCCCCAAACTCAGCAGTAACTGTACTGTAGACTCTGTGGGGCTACACAGCACAGATCTGGGCTTTGAGTTGGACACTGCTGCAGAACCATAGGCACCAGAGGAATTTTTCTGTTCATTCTCTCTTTGTTTATTAGTTTATTTCATTTTCCTTTTTCTGTTTTTTTTTTTTTTTTGAGGGGGAAGTTTTTAGGTTTTGACATTCATTTTTTGTTTTTTTTTTGTCCTTCCTGTTAGTATCTTTCCTCAACTGTGTTTCTAGATTCTTCGATATTAACATATAAATGAACATTGTCTAGTCTTTCTGGTTAAGTTTCACTGCTCTTGCTTTCTCTTTCATCGTCTCTCCCTCTCGTCTTCTCAAGTTTCCTAGAGCATGGGTGGTCATCGTTTGTCCTTCAGCCTTGCTTCTACCATATTTGTCTTCACTTATTGCTCTGTTTTGCCTCATCCCTCTTAAATACCCCCAATAGCCCCTGATTTATATTGGATTTTGTTCTATAACTATATATCATGCTATGATGGTAAAAGGTACCAAATTAGTAGTTACCAAGTCTCTGCATGTCTAAGCAGTGCTTCATGCTATGGTTATTACTAATTGTACTACCTAGCCATGGTACCATACATTGTATAGCTGGTTGTTCTGACTTGTATGACAAAACTGTGATAGTATGGAGTTATAATCATTATCATAGCCCAGTACCAAAGGACTGGCTGCTAAGCCCAAGAGAGAGCCACTCCTCATCCCTAATAAAGTGAGAAGGTAGGATCTTGGGACAGACGCGAAGACGAACAGTGAGTTACACCTAAAAGACATTTCAGAGGAATAGACATTTCTTAAGGACGTATTAATACTAGTGATAAACCTACTTAACAGAAGAACCTTACAAGCATCAACATAGCAAAATACAACCTAAAAATCAAAATGACAAGAAGCAGAAGCAAAATACAACCACAGATTTCCAAGCCACCCAGGTCAGATCGAGGAGAGAATAGACGGAGGAAATTAGGAGTCACTCACCTGAAGTTTCTCTAATGATACCAGCAGAAGTAAACAAAACAAAACAATAGAAAAATCAGGTGAATGAGGCTGTAGAGAAAATAAGGTCAGAAATAATTTCTCTCTCAAAAAAAGGGGGGGGGGCTGGTGAGATGGCTCAGTGGTCTAAAGCACCTACTTAGAACAAGGTTAGCAAAGCACAGGGACCGCGGTTCAATCCCCAGCACCACATGCCAGCC